AATGAAGACAAAGACCATCGGCTCATTCTTACAAGGAGAATGGCGTTTATTATTACAAGGGTGGAGCCTTATATACCAAAGGCAGGCATGGTGGAAAAATCACCAAGGTCAGAAACCTATGTTCCCAGGGCCCTCCATCAAAAGGTGGGCCCAAAACAGTTATTAGCAAATAATATTAGGAGTCAATGCCACAAAGCTACCCGCCCAACAGGGCGGGGTCAAGGTAGAGATAAAAGGAAGTGAAAGGAAAAGGGGCTCCTCTCTCTTTTCTCCTGGAAGCCAGCCACACTTCTAACTCCTGGTATGTGCGATTCTCTCTGATAAATAAATATATTGTTTTCCCTATATAGCCTCGAGTATCGCTATAGACAAAGGATGCAAAACAGGAACTTGCAACTTGCATGCATGCAGGCTTTACTGGGAGGAGGGGATGAGAAGTGTTTAGCTAAAAGCTCCTAGTAACAAGCGGTCAGCAGACAGACCCCCATGGGGGAAGGGTGCAACACACAGCAATTGAACCAATGTGAAAATGGAGACTTCATTGAGGCAGATGCTTTGCAGGCCCCACTCACAGAGGGACTGCAAAGGTGGTGCTGAACTCTAACACTTCCTGTCATCACGATGGCTTTATCCAAGGAACTTAAGATCTTTGGTCTTGCAAATGAACTGAAAGTCAACAACTGGACTCAGTGGCACAGGCCTGTAACCTTAACACTTGGAGGTATAGGTCCAAGGATCAGGAATTCAAGGTCTTCATAGCAAGGATGAAGCAAGGTTGGACAACATGAGACCTTGTTTTAAAAGTAAGAACTTAAGAGAAGAGGAAGAGGAGCAGGGGAAGAGGAGGAAGGGAAAAAGGAAAAGAAGGAACCCCTCCCCCCCAAAAAGAAAGAAGAAACTTTTCTTGGATTCACCGCTATCCTGCTGGTTTAAGGGATGGACTTGAATGCGGAGGCCAGAGCCTCTTTTGAACCAAAGCTGAAACAGGAAAACTTCACTTGTGGCAAACAACTGTCTGGGAGCTGAGTGGGAACTAGCCTGACTGCAGAGAGTCCAAGGGGCCCTGATGGGAGATGTTATTCTGTATATGTTTCTCCTATTGGTTGATGAATAACACACTGATTGGCCAAGCAGGGCTAGGAGACAAGGAGAATTCTGGGAAGTGTAGGCAGAGAGGAGTCTCGATGTGAGCCCAGGAAGAGAGGATGTGAGTCAGGTGTTCTCCGGTAAAATAAGAGCATGTAGCAATACATAGATTGGCAGTTATGGGTTAATAATTAAGACAGAGCTAGCCAATAAGAGATCCAATTCACCGGCCAACAGTATTATAATTAATATAGCATCTATATGTTCATTTAGGACAAAGTGGCTGTAGCACCGGACAGGAATCTCGTAACAGGTCCCAACTTAGAGGACATCAGAGATGTGAAGGTTTCCAGCTGCACTGTCCCTGGCCAGGTCTTCCCCGTGAAGAGCAAAGCAAAACTTCTTTCTCCTTCTGAGAGAGTGCGAGTTTGACATTGTTAGACCGAGAGCATTCGCTTCTCTTTCACAGAAGCCTGTCTTCATGGTGATGTCTCTCTAGAACCAAGCCATCTGAGGAGAAAAGCAATGTCCAACTCCACACACACCCTCTAGACTTCCAGTCTTTAGACCAATGACAATGGGAAGAGCCAAGAAGCCCTTGGGAATGCCACAGCCTGGGGACCAGGCTCAGTAAACACTGAGGCCTCATCACAGAGCCTCCCAAGCTTCCCCTACACACACACACACACACACACACACACACACACACACACACACATCACAGAGATGGCAGCTGAAAGACCGCAGCCCTCAGGTTCTGTCTGTGAAGGAGTAACTAGGGAAACCCACAGAGTACGAAATAACACCCACAGCCTACCCCTGGCCAACTAAGCAGAAAGCCTGGCACAAAAAGCCTGTTTTCCTCAGTCCCTTCACCTGATACATCTCATCTGCCTTTCATTAAACAATTTCAAGACCTGAAATTAGTAAAAGTCAAAGGGTAGATTCTAGAGGAACATAGCAGCTATCAAAATCAGACTCATGTGAAGCAGGTGTGTGCAAATAATCAGACCAGGAATTTAAAACAGCTTCCATAAATACACCAAGGGCTCTAAGGGAACACATGGGCATGTAAGAACAGATGGGTAATATAAACACAGAGATAGAAACTAAAGAAAATTCTAAAGGAAAGACCCAGAATAATACAACACAGAAGTGAGGAATGTCTTTGAAGGACTCCTCAGGATGTTGGACAATGCTAAACAAAGCATCCAGGAGCCTCAAGGAACAGCAACAGGGCCTGGGAAGGGGTCTCTGCTCTAAGTGCTGGCTCTGTAAGTATGAGGAGCTGAGCTGAATCCCCAGCACCAGAAGAGAAAACTAGACCTGATGGCTTGTACTACTAGTCAGGGGAAGTGGAGACAGAAAGATCCTACACACATACACACACACACACAGAGAGAGAGAGAGAGAGAGAAAGAGAGAGAGAGAGAGAGAGAATAAATGAAGAATAAATAACATTACAAACCAAGGATGTAGCTCAGTGACAATCTGTACATTCAGCATGCATAAGGCCACGGGTTCAACTCGCACTACCAAGGGAAAGGAAGAAATAGCAACAGAAAACAAACAAAAAAGCAAAATGGGGATGGGGTCAGGTGAAGCAGGAACTCTAAAGGACTGTCTGGTCTCGCCTTGGCAAGTTCAGCAGTCACTTTCAGCAAGATGAGACTGTCCTTCAGGGTTCCTGCATTATGGAGCAGTCTGCCAGACATTCTGCAGGACACAGAGAAAAGTGACTGACAGACTGCCAATGTAGGCAAGACAGTTTCAAATTTCCTGCTTTGTTGAAAAATCTTCCAGACACATTGTGGTCTATGGGCTCAAGATGGATGCTCCAACGTTACAGAGGAAATTTAGATGACTGTCCAGGCAGCAAGATGCCTCTGTCGATTCTAGAATGTATATATTATCCTTCTGTGGTATTTGATGGAGTTAAAGACAGATAGTTATGGTTATGGTTTTCCTTAGTTATGATAAAAATAAGTTACATATAAAACTTTAGACTCACCAAGATAGGATAGATGATAGAGTATTGTCTTTAAATTTACCTAAATGTTAATGAATTAAATATTATAACTATAATTCTTGCTTTATTACTTTTTTATATATAATTTTACTATGTTAAACTCAAAACCTTTTTATGTAGACAGAAAAGAAGAGATGTTGGGGAATGTCCTTCTGTACATATGTTTCTCTTATTGGTTGATGAATAAAACACTGATTGGCCAGTAGCCAGGCAGGAGGTATAGGTGGGGCTAGCAGACAAGGAGAATTCTGGAAAGAGGGTCAGAGAGGAGTCTCCAGGGAGAGGCCACGTAGTTGCCAAGGAAGAAAGGGGACTGGGCATCACCAGTAGGCCAAAGCCACGGGAAATGCACAAATTAATAGAAATGGGTTAATAATTAAGAGAGAGCTGGTCAATAAGAAGCCTGAGCTGTCAGCCAAACAGTTTATAATTTATATAAGCCTCAGCATGTTTATTTCATACTGAAGGGTGGTAGAACTATTCAGAACAGAAACTCAGAATGTTCAAGAGCTATGTGTCAGTCATAAAGCATTTCTATAACTGGTGTGTACTAGAATGATCAAGGGCACAGAAAAAAAATCCACAGAAGCATTTGAAGTGATAACAGTCCAGACCTTCTCAAAACTCAAGACAGGTACCCAACAACAATCCAGAGATCTCAAAGAACTCCAAGCAGGAAAAAAATCGGAGTCTATGCCTATTCATATATGTTCAAAGCACAGAAAGTCCAACACACAGAAACCAACGTAGGGGGTCTGTCAGCAAAGGACAGGATACAGAAGGTGTGGTAAATATGCACAATGGAAGTTTATTCAGGCAAAAAGAACATAATTATGCCACTTGCACGAAAATGGTTGCAACTGACTATTACCATATTAAGCAGATTAATTCTGTCTCAAAAAGGCAAACATCACATATTTTTCTCTCGTTTCTGAATTCTAGAATTTATATAGATCCATGAAGTCATGCATACACATTTGACATAAAAATAGAAGTAAAATTGTCTAAAAGAGTGACGGGGGCTCATGGAAGTGAAGAGGGGAGAAAGGGGGAGATGGAATAATGTGCTCAAAATACCTTATAGATTGTGTGGAAATGGCCTTATGCAACTCGACGCTTTAATGAATACAAAAATCTTTAAAGGAGGTGGTGAAAAAAGAAAGAGCAAATGCTGTCTATAGAGAGCAAGGATGAGAACTCCGTGCAGAATCCATACAAGTGAGAGTGGCATGAAATATTCAGAAGCTATAAGGTGAGGATGAAAACACCAACAGCATTCAGTAGCCTGCACAGTCATCCCTATAAAGTAAAAATAAATAAATAAATAAAGACTTCCTCACAGTCTAAAACAGAAGGATACCTAGCAGGAAATATTGAAAGTTCTGAGACAAAAGAAAGGACGCAGGCCAGAAACCAAGCACTACACAAAGTGAGACGCTAAAGAAGCAATGAGTAGATGTAAAATACAGGAATCCCCGGCACTCCCTCAGGAAATCCACTCCACCCACCCAACACCCATCTCAGTTCACACCAGCATCCCTTCAGATTCGCTGGGATCTATACTACCTGCAACACACACACACACACACACACACACACACACACACACACACACACACACACAGCAGTGTGCCCTCAGCATCAGGCCCGCAAGGCACCCAAAACTGGATGGATGGATGGATGGATGGATGGATGGATGGATGGATGGATGGATGGATGGGTGGGTGGGTGGGTGGGTGGGTGAGTGGATAGATGGATGGATGGATGGGTGGGTGGATGGATGGGTGGGTGGGTGGGTGGGTGGGTGGGTGGATGGATGGGGGAGGGAGAGAGGCAGAGAGAGGGAGGGAGGGATGACAAAGCATCCACACACCAACATCTGGGCTAGTTGGTAGATAAGATGTCTCTTTATTAGCACTTCAGCAAGAAGATTCCAGTGTCATCAAGGTGGTAACCAAGGGCTTAGCCTCTATAGCCCTTCTGCTCAAGTCTGGTCACCCTTCAGGTCAAACATGAGGTGGACACTCTTTGGACACAGGCTGTTCATTGTCTCTGTGCACCTTCAACCTGGGAATCAGAGATGCACTCAGTGAGCCCTCATGGAAATGTGCAGCCAGTTGAAGCCAGTCTCTGCTCCCCATCTCCACTTTAAAGTCCTCTACTTTCTGTATAAAGGTTGCCTGGATCAATGGGAACCCTTGACAAAACATGCCCTATGCAGAATCTGCCATACAGGCAGCACTTAATAAGTGCTAGCCTTGCATCTCCTGATGCTTTTTAAGCACGTAGCTTCCAGCTGTGTGTCAATCATGTCTTTCATCCCCATCCCCACAGCAACTACCAGGGCATCTCGCTTGGATAAGGTACAATGACTGCTTCGGGCATGGTCCTTGTAGTGAGATGGTTCCACCTCCAGCCTTCCACTTCCTGGAACTAAACATCCAGTTCTGGCCACCGCCTTGTGCAAAGCACAAGGGGGGGATTATGGGCAAAAGACCCCTGCTGGTGGTAGTTTCATATTCTATTCACGCTTACTCCTACCCTGTGTCTCAAAGCAGTATTGGAGCAGCACCATCCACTTTTCCCAGCCCTCGCTTGCCCTGAGTGTTAACCTCTCACTCAGGAAAACTTAAAGCTTCCCATGCTAGGTTTCCCTCCCACTGCCAAAGCTAGACGCCCTACCACTCCCCCACCCCTCATACACACACACACACACACACACACACACACACACACACACACACACAGGCCCTTACCTATGGGTTTCCTTGCCTTAGCATTCTGAGCAAGAAGTTCTGAAGCTTGGATCGTCATATGAGTCACACCTGAGATGAGATATGCTGCAGAGGACAGAGGGGAACAGCGAATGGAGAAGAGGCTATCAGAACCTACCTAGACCCAAACCACAGCACAGGGCACCGGCTGGGTGGAAAGCACAGGCCTCAGGCATCATTGTGTGTGAACTTTAGAACTGAATTCCAGGAAGAAACCCCCAGCCTAGAGCCATGGCAGGCAGGCGCCACATGCAGCTGATAAGGCCACCATAGTGTGGATCACAAGAGACAGAAGCCCCGTTGTATGTCCCCAGTCGTGTTAGAGACAACCGACGACTGGGATGGGCAGCTAACCCTGACATCATCTCCACCCACATGCACCCAGGCAGGCATACAAAGCAACTGGATGCAAGAACTTACCTTCGCCTCACTTGGTCTATTCGGTCCTGCACGACACTTTCTATCATTTCACTTGGTACTTGGAAGATACGGGTGTGGCTGGAAAATACCATAGCAACATGGGGTTCTGAGTTGCTTTTCCTAACAGCCAAGCCCGATAAGTCTACTGAAACTGGGACTATTGGAACAGTAACAGTAACTTCAGACACGTGAGCCTAAGAGCCCACCCCTCACTTAACTAACAAAGTATCTCTCAGTCACCCAGCCATTGTGTGAAGACAGCAAATTGTTCCAAAGAAACACTAGGAGAGAGAAACTGGTTGCCAGCAGGGGGATGGAAGTGTGAACTCCTCCTTCCAAACTTCTCTCTAGTTTTATTATGTACTCTTAGGATTAGCAGCATGGCACGGGCACTACAATTTAGCACTGTTTGTGTTATTTCTCCGTGCTGAAGTTTCTTTCCCTTCTCTAGTCTACTTCCTGTCTTCTCTCGTACTATTTCCCACTCCTCCCCTCCAGAGTCCTGGAGTGCCCACCAAATATCTTTGTCTATGGTGCTGTGGTATGTTTGAGGCACAAATTCTGTCTGGCCTCCCCCTCTGCCCACAGAGAGAGGGGAGAGATGATTGTCATCGCGGCTCCTACCAGGAAGAACCAGTTGGAGTCCATGGAAGATAAAGTAGGCAAGACTAACTGTCCCCAACCTAGGGGGAAGGGGCCCCTCAGAAAACGGGGGCCTTGGAACTAGGATGCCCAGGCTACACAGGCTCTCCTTTTCTCTGCAGTTCCCTGCTTCTCAGCTAATAGTACCCCCATTAAAGAGCCATTCTGAGCACACAGCCCTCTGGGAACTTCCCTGAGATGATCTGGCAGCAATGCCTAGAAAATGTGCAGCCGGGGCCTCAAGCTGTGCCCTCAGACCTTCTCCCAGGCTTCCCTAACGCTCACCTCCATACACCCTGCCTGTCTGCCCAGTTTATGTCCATGAAATGTGGGCCTGTGCTTGGCTCTTTTTCTTTCCTCCAGGCCAGCTAGCAAGTACAGGGAGATGCATGCACACCTACTAAAAGAATGAAGAGCCAGCCCTGCTTCATGCCAGGGTCTCACCCTGACTGCCTGCTTAGCGGACTGTGGAGAAAACGCCAGAATCAGCGCACTATGGGAAAGAACAGATTGTTCATTTCCAATCTCCACTGAAAATTCAGAGTGGAAAAATTATACATAGATAACTGATGCTTCTTGACTATGTCCAAAAAAAAACCTTAAAATAATTATGCAGCCAAGGTTAAAGCAATGCTGGAGGACGAGGTTTGTACTGTCCAAACCAAGGAGAGTTATGTTTATAACTCCAGAGTCCATCAAAACTGAGCAAGGAAAAGCTAGGATTGCAGTCAATAATGCTGAGGAGCCTCAGTGGGTTTCTTGAGAAAAAACTTTCCTCCCGTGGGGGGGGGTGCGCTCTGAAATCCCACCATGGTTATCCCTCCCAAGAAGAATGGGTGCATATTTGAATACTGTACAACATCATCACTGGCAAAGTAAACCCATGCAGACACAAGTCTTAGTGAGAAGCACAGCTTCCTGGGGGAAGAGCACCGCTGGCAACAGGAACAGGTGAGGAAGGATATCAGGATCTGGGCCAGACACTGATGGATTCAGGGAACACAAAGAAAATGGGATGCCTCTGCGGGAGGCGTGGGGTGACTCCAGGCCAGCCCCTCTCCACCTGGGGTCGCAGCGTCTTCAGCATCTTCAGGACAGAGAAAGGGCAGCACCAAGGTGGCAGAAAGGTGACAGCTTGGCTTTGTCACAGAATTCTTGCCTCTGGTGCCGGGAGACCTCCACACTGCAAAGTCGCAGATGAGGGCTTTGGCTTTTGCATTTTAAGAGCTTATTTTCTTTTAGCTCTTTAAAGTGCTGCCACTTCTGAACAATTCAAGTGCAAAAATAACAGGAATCTGAAACATATTCAGAAGTGTTTAGGAAACGGAGAACAAGCCCAGTTCCCCAACTGCTGAAGTCATTTAAAAATGTACGAATGAGCTAAGCTTTCAAGATAGCACAAACATTCCCTTAAGTTCCCAAAGCATGACTGAGGAATTTCTCTGCCAAAGGAGGTGGCATCTCTAGAACAAATGTGTTTGATCTAGCCAGGGACCCAGAAGGGCTAGTGCCTTCTCGGTAGGCTCCCACACTCCCTGGGTACTGTACCTCCATCTTATAAACTGGATTCTCGTTCTCTCCTCCAGGAGTTCCTGACTAGGGTCTGTTAACATATCAGACTTGGAGAGATGGTGCTTCACCTGGGAAATCCAGATTGAATACATGTGGTTACTAGTCAGTGTGGACACAAGCAGCTGAGGTGTGGCCCACTTCCCCACAAACTCTATTACCAAATCTCTGGTCACATGTACGTCCTGTCCATGAGTGGGAGGGTCGTTGGTAGACATCTTCTCCTTTATGCTCTTAGAAGCCTCCTCTTCAGTCTGAAAGGTGAATGGTTTCCCTCTTGAAGTGCCCGGCTCCATCTGACCACTCTCCAGGCCCCCTCTTCTCTTCCTTCCCCTGTGCCCCTCCCATCACAACACAAGACATACACAAACTCCACTCACTCCATCACTCCAAGCTTCTGCGCAAAGCTCCTCCATTGTTATTCCTCTATGAATCCCTGGGACTCCCCCTAAGCCCTTGGCCCTATCCCAAGGTACTTCTGGGACCACCTTGAACAGAATATTCTCCTCTAGGATGCTTGGTAAGTCAATGGGTAGTGATGCCAGCACCTCTCTTGCCAATACAAAACCCCACATCCTCTCAGACATTAGAATGGGTTTAAACTCAACTGTAGGTAGGGAATTTGGTAATAAACTTGAGTTTCTCAGTTGTATAGAGAGTAGAATCCTGATTCCTGTCCCCTATTGGTACCAGCACTCTAAAACTTTGAGTACTGAGTTATAGAAGAATTCTACTCACTTTGTTCAACCAATGCTGCACTACGGATACAGCTTCACTTTCCACAACTTCAATGTCCTGGAACAAATTGGTTAAGATGATGACCTCAGAAACCCTAGAGACCCAACCCCCCACCACCACTTCTATCCAATGTGATATGATAGGAGGTATCTGTAAGGCACACCAGGAGTGCAGATAGAGAGAAGTAGACACCGTCCCATGTCGCTGCCACCACCACTCACCGAGTTTGCGTTTGGTGGGAAGGGTAGCCCTAGATTTTTCCGGGTAAAGATGTATACAATCCATGTTGTAATGATCATCTTCAGACTTACAGAGGGCCTTCTTGGCTCCCTCCTTCCATTGAAGCTGCCTGAGAACTTCTATGGAATAGGAATGTTGTTGAAGGGAGGTTCCCCCTCACTGATTGGTTGACAAGTGATGATGTGACAATGACCTCTTTCAACTTCCAGGGTCAGAGTGCAGATGGAAAAGAGAGATTTGGAGATTTCTTCCTTATGACTACTCAGAAAAGGGGATGCGGGACTTAGAAGATGATGATAAATCATCCTTAGTAAAATCCCTGGGCAAGATACAAAGGGAATTACCTCGAGTATAAACAGAAAGTCTTAGGGTGACTCTCTATCCTAAGCAATACGACGTAAAAATTTTCAAAAGAAACAAAAGTATTTTACAAATCAAAAGAGAAAATTATGACCAAATTGTCTCAACTCTTTGAACTTCCATTCAGACCAGTGTCATGCTTATTTCTTAATCTCTCTTATGCTCGAGAGGAAATGAAACTGCTATTCACCCAAAACTGCCCAGATAAAGAAGCAAATGTCCAATAGGGATAGTTTAATTTTCTGCCTGTTCTTACTACACAAATGACTCAAATCACTGAAAAGTAGTCCAGCTGCTGAGGAAATGGCTCAGTCAGTAAAGTACAGGGCTTTGTAAGCATGAGGACTGAAGTTTGATCCCCAGAACCCATAGTGTGTGTGTGTGTGTGTGTGTGTGTGTGTGTGTGTGTGTGTGTGTTATGTAAAAGTAGCTGTGTCCAAGAAATTATGTGTACTCAGAAATTATGGATGCTTCCACTGTGTGTATCCACCAACCTCAGAATGGCTACCAAAACAAAAGTGAGTAACATAGCAGGAAAGTCAGGTAGTCATTACTGGCTTAAGAAAAGCTACTCTTAAAGACCTTAAACCAACACTAGCCATGTGATCACAATCTAAAACAGCAGGTAAGGGACAGGGCTGGTAAGATAACTCAGAAGTTAAGAGCACTTGCTGCTCTTCCAGGGCACTAGAGTTCAGCTCACAACCACCTGTAACTCCAGCTCCAGGGAACCCAACACCTCTGGTCTTGAAGGGCATCTGTGCTGGCTAATTTCATATCAGCTTGACATAAGCTAATGTCATGTGGGAAGAGGGAACCTCAACTTGAGAAAATTATCTTCACCAGACTGGGCTACAGGCAAGCCCATGGGGTAGTTTCTTGAGCGATAGTTCCTGTGGGAAGACCCAGAGACGGCACTGTGGATGATGGTGCCACCCCTGAGTTGGTGATTCTGGATGCTATAAGAAAGCAGGCTGTGCAGGTCATGGGGAGCAAGCCAGTAAGAAGCACCCTCCGTGACATCTACTTCAGTTCCTGCCCTGCTTGAGTTCCTACCCTCATCTCCTTCAGTGGTAGGCTGTGATGTGGAACTGTAAGCTGAAATAAATCCTTTCCTCCACAAGCTGCTTTTGGTCATAGTGCTTTCTAACAGCTACGGCAACCCTGAATAAGACAGCATCTGCATTCATGGGTACTGCACGCACGCATACACACACACACACACACACACACACACAAACATACACACACATGCAAACACACACACAATTTAAAATAATAAAAACAAATATTTAAACAGCAGATGGAATTGTTTACCTGCATCCCTGGGCCACTAATGTACCATAACAATTATGTGTTCATGAGTCTTCAAATAGCTGTTTAAACAACAAAACATCAGTGTAAAGAGAAGCCTTTTCCTTGAGAGAAGCCTTCCAGCCAACCTGGTTCCAAAGCCGCATCAGTCCCAAATAAACACACAGGAGGCTATATTAATTATGAAGCTGTTGGCCTTGCTTGTTTCTTACTGGCTATCTCTGACTTAAGTAATTACCCCATAATTGTTAATCTAAGTATTTCTCTTGCCGGAGAATAGTTCTGGGCTTCATACCCCATGGCGTTACATCTCAACTCCCCGTGTTTCTCCTTCCCAGAGTCCTCCTGGACTCCTTGTCCCACCTATCTAGATTCCTATTGGCCCAACAGTGCTTTATTGACATAATCACAGGACTTCCCACATTACATCAGTATAACCCAAAACTCAAAAGTACATGAAAAGATCATTCAGAGTTTTATCCCTTCCATAGTCCCTTCAGCCTTCTTCTAACTCATTTCAGAAATAATTTTTCAGTAGTTTCTAAGGTATGTATCCTGTGTTTTTACTGTAAGAATCAAGCAGATAAATCATCTTTGCTTTTTTGTTATTGTACTAAAGGCCCATTTAGCAAATTCTACAAATATATGTTTAAAAAGTAAAAAAGAGAAACCTTAACAAACCTATTCACCTAGTTGCAGATCGAGACACTTAAAAGACGTCTTGATACCCCAGCAGATGTCCAGTCAGCCCCCCACCCACCCAGCTTCTCCACTACCACAGATAGGGTCCCAACCTTGCTCATCTGCTTCCTGGACCTCTAGTTTTGTTTTTATCAGGCATCCATAGAAACAAAGCAAACCATGTTGGGCCTGACTTGGGTTTTCACACAGCAGCAATTGCCATGGATTCTTTTCTTTCACTGTGGAGCCTTACTCCTTCGTGGGATACACAGCATTTTGTTTACAACTTGGTTAGTTGACAAGCAGAGGGTGATCGCAAGTTTGGGTTTGATACAAATAAAACTTCAAAGAATATTTGAAAAAAAGAAAAAGAAAATGGAGCAAATATGTTTCATTTTTCTTGGATAAAGTCCTAAGAGCAGAAAGGTGATTTCATGTTTAATTTTTTTTTCCTTTTTATATTCTTGCAGTGCTGGAAATGGAGCTTGGGGCCTGTTGCATGCTGGGTAAGTGCTCTACCACTGAGCTGCTCCCCTGGTCTTTTTGCTTAGGAGTTAATTGAGATAAAATTCACTTTCAAAAACTCACTAATTTAACATGTACAATTATATGGTTTGTAATGTGTTCACAGGGGTGTGCAACTGTTACTTCAGTCCATTTTGACCAAATTTTGCTACCTCAAAAGAGAAACTCTTTGCCTTTAGCAGTCAAACTATTTTTCTCACACACTTGGCCTTATTCCAAGGCATCCATTAATCTACTTTCTGTTCCCACAGTTTTGCTTATTCTGGACATTTCTCACGGATAGGGTCACACAATATCTGTTCTTTAGTAACTGATATCTGCAACTTAACACGATGTTTTTAAGGGTCATTCACCTCTTCCACAGACGTACATTGTCGCATGTGGGACCACTTCATTTCTTACTGCAGAGCAGCAGTTCACTGTCTAGATACGCAATACTTCATTTGTCCGTGAATTAACTCATGGGCACTGGGATTGTTTGCATGCGTTAATAGGGAAAGTGTTCCTATGAACATTTGTATACACCACTTTGTATAAACCTGTTTTCAGTTCTCCTCGGCTCATACTTCTCAGTGTGGTTGCTGGGTTGTATGGCAACCTTGGGTTTAACATTTCTGAAAGACTATTAAAACTATTTTCTAAATGGCTGCATCACTCTACCTTCTCATGATCAACACACATAAGGGTTCTGATGTTTCCACATTCTTTGCCAATGGCATTATTATCCACCATTCTGACGTAAGACACACTAGTGAGTATGAAATAGCATCTCATGGTAGCTTAGGTTTGTGTCTCCCAAATGATTAATGACACTGACCATCTTTTCCTGTGCCTCTTACCTGCATGTGAATCTTACTTGGGGATTTGTCTCCTTAAACACTTGGCCATTTTATGATTGGATTATTTCTCTGTTTGACAGATTTAAGAGTTTCTTAAACATCCTTAATACAAATACCAGATAAATGATTAACAAATGCTTTTTCTATGAGCTACCCTTCCCCTTTTTTGTTGGTGTCATATAAAGCAGAAATTTTCTGAATATGTGATCAAGTTCAACTTACCTGAACTTACTTTTGTCGCTCATGAAACCATTGTTATGAAGATTTACTTTATTTTCCTTCATAAAGTAAGAGGGTTGCAGGACCTATGTTTATCTTTATGATCTATTTAAAGTTTATCTTTGTATAAAGTATCCAAATCCATTTTTGTGGGAGGATATACAGTTGTCTCCCACCATTTACTGCAAAGAATGGCCTTTCTATTTTGAACAGCCTTGGCAACCTTGTCAGAAATCAATTAGCCCTAAATTTAAATTTTTAGTCTAGACCATTAATTGACTTTATTGTCTGTCCTTATTTCAGTGCCACAATCTCTTAATTACCACAGCTTTTTAAGAAGTTTTCGTCATTCCCAGTGTACGTTTTCAGGACTAGCTGGGTAACACCAGCCAGACTCAGCGGGAAAGGAAATAATCTCAAAATCCAGTAGGAAGGGATGGAAGAATGCAAAGGGTGGCGATGGGAGGAGTCGAGTGAGGGGATGAACATAGTCAAAAGTCATCATATGAATTCTCAAAACTTAATGAAAATATTGCAAAAACAAGCTATTAGATATTACCTCACATCATGGTACACGAGAGTAGACACAGAATGAAGCAAATCCTGAGTGTAAGGCCAGGCTGACCCATGGGAGACCCTGCCTCAAAAAACTAAAAGAAAACTGTCATAAATTTTGTCAAATGCATTTTCTGTACTTTCTGAAATGGCCAAGTTGTTCTAGTATGTTATTATATTTAGGGTTTTTGGGGGGGGTTAGGGGATTTCGAGACAGGGTTTCTCTGTATTGTTTTGGAGGCTGTCCTGGAACTCGCTCTGTAGACCAGGCTGGCCTGGAACTCACAGAGATCCACCTGCCTCTGCCTCCCGAGTGCTAGGATTAAAGGCATGCACCACCAATGCCTGGCTAGTTTTTTATTTTTCAAATGTCAAACCAATTCCTAAAATGATCCCAGTTATTGTCTGTAGGATAATACCACTTAATTATGGTCTATAATCTTGTTTAAATGTGCTGTAGTTAGTTTTGCAGGGGTAGTTTCGTGGAGGATTTTTATATGTATTAGATTTGGGACTATAGCTTTATTTCTTGTAATGTCCTTGGTTTGGACATAAGAGCAAGACTGACATCATAGGAAAATTTACATATGACCCTTTCTCTTATTTTCATTCTTTTATTTATATGTGTATACATGTCTGTGTGTA